GTTTGTAATCACTGAATACCGCTTCAGATCACGTACTCGCTGGTCTCTAATCTCCAGTTTCAGTCTTCGACGTTTGCTGAAGGTTCTTTGGTGTGAGTGTTGTCTTCTTGAAGTATTGCTGTCTCTGATAGATTTACAATGCAAGTTCTTCAGCGATCACTGAACATACTCAGTGAAGATCGCTGGAACTGAAAATACAGAAACACAAATACAACGTGAAAGAGAAAAGAGATTATCATCAAATCACTGAGAGAGAGGATCAACAGCGGGTCATCATACGAGTCAAGAGCGGAGGTATGTTGGTTATATTGTTATAAACTTTCTCATTACTAAAATTGCGAGCAAATTACTGATTTTCTTGAATATTAAATATTTACAGGTATCAGAGTTAAGAGAGAAGTTGGCAAGGGTAGAGGAACGTCATCTGGCCGAGATGGAGGAAGAACGGAAGAAGAGAGCAGATTTGGAGGCCGAACAGGCCAGACAAGCTGTTGTATTAGTCCAACAGGCCGCATTATCGGAGCATTTTGTTGCGTTTATGCGACAGTCAGGATACGTTTTCCCACCTCCCCCACCTCCCGATAGTTAGATTGTATGTATTTGAAGATTAAATTGTATGAATTGAATATTTTAAATCGTATGAATTGGTTGGTTTTAATTTGTTCACAGTTTTGGTTTGTTATATTATTTTCAAGTTTTTTATAAATAAATACATGAATTATGTAATTTCAAAAAAATTATTTTTTAAATTTATACAAATTAGCGACGGATTAGCGAGGGAAAATCCGTTGCTGAAAGTCCTTGAAAATTCCCTTGCTGATCCGTCGCTGAAGGTTCCCTCACAGATCCGTCGCCGAAGGATCCCTCACTGATCCGTCGCCGAAGGATCCCTCGCTGATCCGTCGCCGAAGGATCCCTCGCTGATCTGTCGCTAAATAATTCCCTCGCTGATCCGTCGCTGAAAGTATCCCTTGCAAATCCGTCGCTGATAGCATTACCTACGAGAATTTGACCGACGAAGTATCAACGACGGATCAGCGACAGATTACCCTTTTAGCGACGAATTTACGAGGGAATTTTCCCTTGCTGATACTCTGCATTTTTGTAGTAAAATTTGATCGACAAATATAAAATTAGGGTAACTAGGAAAGATAGCCGCTTTTTAAATTTGTTTTCATTTAGAAATTAGACGGACTAACCTATAAGTCCAAGAACAAGTAAAATTTAGGCCCCACAAAATTAGGTGCCTTGTTTAGAAACCAACTTGTAGGAGGCCATCAACGATCCTGAGAGTAAATTCAATGATATGGCAGCCAATTTTTGATCTATATAAAGTCAGATTTTGTACATAGATACTTTCATACATGGTGACCAAGACTTGTTCAACATCTGAAATAAATGAAAAGACTAATTAATGTGTGAAGTCGTAAAATACTAACATACCTTTTATCAAATGTTTACCCGACAAATGCTCTTTAGTTGTATTATCATATTGGATGAACATGACAAGGACCGAAAATCTTACCCGGTAAGTGAGAGAGACTACTCTTACCTGATTAGCACTTACCGGGTAAATTGTTGCATATGACGTTTTAATGGACTTAAATCTTACCTGATAAAGCAAATCATGTTGAATTTTATGTATAACCGCTTACACGTGAGTGTTTGGATAAACGGCTCCTAACACTCCTTGCCTTAAAAACCGCAAACTCCAAACACTCTTTGCCTTTAAAACCCCAAAACTCCAAGAAGAATAATGCATGAATCTTGAAATAATACATGCAGCATACAGTATGTCGAACCTTGTTGTATGATACATCAAACACCCAAGAAGGCTTCTATAAGAATGTCCACAACATATATATCGATTACCAACAAATTAATTGCAAGATCCCACATCAATAGGGAAAGGGAATTACTAAGGTTGCCTTATAAGGGACAAAATATCTCCTCTATCAAACGTGTTTTAAAACAATAAGTTTAAGTGTGGTCGTGTAAATATAACGGACAATATCTGATTCGGTTGTTTGGGATCTGACATCGATTAAGGAGGTGATCAAATGGGAGTTAAAGTGTAACATACACCAAAGCAACAAACAAATTTAACCTAAATTTGGCCCCTTATTGGGCCATTCTAGTTCACCCGGTTCCCATATTAGTTGTTTGCAAGCCGGTGCAACAACCTATATATGCATGTGGCAAGGACCAAATACCCAAGTCGTCGTTCTTGTCGCGTAAAACATATGGTAAATCGTTAAACTCAAGATACAAATGAAACAGACTGATTATTTTAGACGGAAAAAGCAAAATGAAAATTATCCCAAAATAACTGTACATATACAAAATATGTAGTTTACTTGTGACTGAACATTGAAAACAATATACATTATTGATGACATATAGAAATACAATAAACTAAAAGCAGAAGGATTAATTGACAATTGTACACTTTCAGATTGATCTTGTTTTTCATTTTTGAACTATTTGCATCTTTTGAAATCGACTGCTTTTTATTATTGAAACACACAATGAAATAATTCTGATTGGAACTAGAGTACCAACTTTAAATGTTACGAGGATAGAGGCGAATGGGAAGTCCCTTGGCAGGAATAGGCATCGGGTTGACGATGATTTGCTCATATGGAATTACTTTCTCCCATTTAAATTTTGTAACTAGATGATGCATGAACACAAGTATTTCTAAGCGGGCATACTCTTTTCCAGGGCACATACGAGGTCCTCCTCCAAATGGTAC